ACTTTGTGGTTTCAAAAAGATGTAGAATATTTAGAATCTGTTTCTCAATCCCTAGTTGAATCTTCTTCAATACACCACCATTGGAATTCACATTGAGCAGATCCAATCATCCTTTGACAGTTTGACTGGGTCGTAATGTCTTTTGGGTTAGAGCCTACAGACTTTATGCACACCCAGTTCAGGAAAATATTTTATTCTTGGTTCATCTTTGACTTCCTGCTTGGGGTCTTGAAGCAGCTCATGGGTTTATTTTATGACTCGGGCCGGCTCTGCTTTGGTCCTAAGGTTTCTGTTTTTTGGTCCATCTGAGGGATCAGAAATCTTTCTGGACTTGGGCCGACACGCCGCTTCAAAAGGAGGCGGAGCCCGAGTCGGGACACAGCTTCGATCCTCTTTAAAGTTACCAGCTCTGACATCAGTCAGTTAGAAACAGAATCATTCCACTCATTCAAAGAAATTAGTCGTAGTAGCTTCAAAGTACAGAAACAGATACCCAGAGGTTGGATAAATAATTATACACTCCCATTTAATGTTTGATACAGTTAGCTGTATTCACGTTGCATTGGCTGAACTCTACTGGAGTTGGATAACTGCAAAATCACATAGGCTGTAGTGTATCACAACATCTTAGATAAAGTGATTAGACTCATTTAAAGGGGGGCTGATGAGAATAAAATTGTTGGGATTCCAATTGAATGGCGACAGGGAGTAAACAAGTCACTGCAGGTTTCTGAGCCCTAACATTAGGTGACGACACACGTGGCATAAATATTAGAGAGCTGTAAAAAGACAGAGTCCACGTTAGATTAATCTCATTCATGTACTGTACTGTCACCAAACTTTTCAGCCTATACATATATATTCATATATCTCCAAAATATTAAAAAGTACTTAATATAAAAATACAGAAGAATTATAAAAAATGAGCAAAACATTGAATTTTATATGAAAACCATGCAAGAAAGATTCCCCATTTAGTTAAATAGTAACTCTAAGATTCAGGAAAGCAAGGGAATGAAAGGGAAGTGGTCGGATGAGAGAAGCGCAGGCGAACTGCCACCCACTTGCTTTTCATGTAAACATTGTAGAGGTCCTTGAAACTTGGTTCGGCAGTGACGACTGAAGATTTTCTCCTTGCTTTTTTGGTCGTGTTTGGAGTAAAGGGCCAGGGGAGGAGGAGGGGGAAGGATTGGGGTTGGGGTTAGGAAAGTCCAAAGGAAACCTTGATAACAATGAGATAAAAAACAATACAGACAACCTATAAAATATGGCTCTGAGTTACATAGAAAAAGCTCATCAGAGGGGAGAGGAAGAACCTAGTTGTGACAGGAAAGTTGGAAATATGGCAGTAGTAGCACATTACTTCAATAACGTGTCCTAGTTCAAAGATAGCTTGATGGTTACTAGTTGGACTAAGAGGGGATTAGACTCATCACTGCCTCTGACTGGTAGATGATTCCTTCTTCTTTTAAGACAGTAATCTGTGGACAACGGCAGGCAAGAAGTACTGAGCGGCAGCACTGACACACAGCGGGTTTTACTCTACAGGCCGACTGGTGACATCATCAGTCTCCCATAAACCTCAGCGTGGCCACCACACTGACGACTGTTAATCAATCACAGCAGAGCGGAGAGGGATGATGATTGAACACCTTCTCCTCTGCCAGCTGTGCAATGTCACTGATTGAGTTTATGTTCCTGAAACTCTTGACAAATATAGGAACAAAAACTTCAGAGTTGGTACTAAGATTTGTCTTAAACACAGAGAGACGGTCCAGAAACGGTTCAGAGATCCTTTAACTCCCTGTTTCTTGAACTGGAGATCTTCCATTGTGACCCAGAACAGACTTGTCAATAGTTATATCATTTTAAAGCTCCAATTTGGATGAACAGAAGTCTAGTTTTAGAGGCAATATCATAACATATGAAGTCAACTGAAAGCCGCATATGGCACGAAGATGATTGGATTAGCTGTGGTTGATGAAACCTAAAACAAAAGAGATAGTTGAAGTGGTTAACTTTCTGATCCAGATGACTTGTTGTTGCTTCATTCTGGATTTATCTCGCTGCAGAGATTATATACTATCTGGTCGTACTATATACTATATACATATCAGGGTCAACTAGGAAGAGTTTTGGGATGTTTCTGGGGAGGAAAGTGGGGGCTACCTTTATTAATCTGACGCCACTGAAACTAAGAAAATGAAAAGAAAATGACTACTTTTCATCCTTTGGCAGTACTGTTTTTTCATTGACTCTGACACAGTAAACAAGAACTGGATCTTTCTTTGTAGCTGTGAGGGTCCACTGGATGTAAATTTGGTCAACTGCAATGTCATTACAGCGGGGCAGTGATTAGCGATGGGGGTCTCACCTCACAGTGTCATGGTCAGATGTGGTCTTTTACATTTTTGATTGGTTTACAGGAAAGAGAAGCAAAGAATGCAAGGAAGTTGGCAATGGAGTCCTTGATGCACAATAATTGTTAATCCCATATTTTGCATGAAACCAACCAATCTGTTGTCATCAACATCAGGCTGGTCCAGGCGGGGGGGTGATGGTGTGATAGTTTCAAGGGAGTCTGCATCCTTTCTTTTCAGGAATCAGGCCAATCAAGTATCTATTGTGGCCTCATTTTATCAGTACTACCTCCGCTGTGACAACTGCAAGAGAGGCATCAATGGCCCAATTGGGAGAACCCAATTTTCGCCCCATGGGAGCTGAGATTGGCTCCTTGCCTAGAGGGAACCATTAAACTAAACTAAGGAAAGCATTGGTTGTAGGCAAGTCAACTGGGCCTTTGAGTGGTACACTTCCTCGTACATTGATTGGGGATGCCACCTAATCACTTGAGACGGACAGTGTTAACGATTAAACCAGATATTTTGTTATTTCTATCAACGATATCTGTAGACGGCAAACCGGTTAGGAATGCCAGTTCAGGGATCGCTAACACAAGCTCTTCCAACATTGTCACCTCTCCTTTCTCTTCAAGTGAAATATGAAATATCTTTAAAATCTGCTGCTATATGGTGAGACACTCTTAGTTTTAAATTATCTTCAACCGTATGACCAAGCTTGGATTATGCTCTATAAAAAAAGGTCATGTAATGTGAGTATGCCCGAACTACGTGCAACACAGGTAGCACCAACCACCGTAGCAAGCCTAATGCAAACCCTAAACTTTTCTTCAGTTTTTCTCAACATGATTTGTCTATTGACAAGTCTGATATTGTCCTGTTGTGCGAACAGGAAGTTCAGTCCCACATTCAGGAAGTTGACCGAGCTCTGAACAGAAGCTGCTGCAGACTAACTAACATAACATATGGTTGTCTAAACAGAATCCCAAATATTCATTCCAATGTTATCATGCGACTCAACACGAACGAAACATAACATGCACTCTATAAGAGGGGGAAACATGAAGCACACTCCAGTTTCCTATCAACACTGTGGGGAGGGGCAGAGAGAACCAAAACCCCCAACTAAGGTGAGATGAGCAGAGAGCGAGCCCTCTCTTGACGCCCCAATGTTAGATATATTTATGTGCAGTTAACATTCTGTCCTTCCACATGCAACACAGCAGCTAAAGAAAAAGTGACACATACAGACACGATAAAGGGAAGAACATTATTTTAACAGTTGAACCTTGCAGACTGTAGTGTCACACTCACAAGACATTCTCAGGAGTTTGAATCAATGATTGGAGGAGGTTAAAAAAAAAAGACAAAAAAAAAATAAAAATTACATTTTTGCATTTGCCTTGAAAATGTTCTGATCACCAAACCCCGGCCGTTAGCTGTGTAGAAGAGCAAAAGCGTATGTACATGAGAATCACTGCACTCTTTGAAAAGTTCGGTGCCGTTTTTGAGAAGCGTTACGCAGGAATGAAAGCGAGTACAGAACACGACATGCTGCTGAGAGTCCCGCAAAAAAGATTGAAACTGACATAGTTTTAAAACTTTTTTTTTTTAAAAGGATCATCAAGTTAAAAAAAACAAAACATGAATGGACCAGGACAGGCCTTCCACAGTGGAGACTCTGGACTCCACCCCTCTGCTGATACATGTATAGTGGTGGTGGAGGGACAAACTTACAGGTTGAACAACGCCACAGTCAGTATGCAAGACACAATGTGGCAGCGATGACTGGGGGGTAAGGGGTTGGGGGGTGGGGGCAATGTGAAGCATGTGTGCACGTGCAGGATGAGGGGATGAGCAGAGTGATGACTTCCCTCCTTGGTGCAACAGTTCGGTTGGCGGGATGACAGATGATGCTGAAGGGAGGAGGAAGAGGAGAGAGGAGCTCAGATTGATAACTCGCGTCTGCAGGGGAAGGCGCTCGGCGGCTCTCCTCCTCCTCCCGCCCCGGAGGAGGGGCTTGGTAGGGGTTCGATCTCGTCTCCGGTCTCCTCGATGGGGGGGATGCGAGCCTCCTCCTCGGACAGCGGGACGAACTCGGGATGGGCCATGAAGCTGTGGATGGAGCTACGGGACTCTGGGCTCGCCGGGTACAAGGAGCTACGGAAAGCGTTCACCACCTTAATCTGAAACAAGAGCAGAAAAGAAACATCAGACGACTGGGAGAGGGACAGATACAGAATCCAATTATGAAAATGTGATGTCAAACTGGCAGCGGGGGCTGATGGGACACATGGTGGACGTGTGTCTGAATCCGGGCAAGGAGGTGCAAAACCACAAAACACAACAACGACAACAAGTGATGCGGGTCGGCTTGATGAGGAAACAGTGGGAGAACTGAAGTCTACAAAATATCAACACAAGCGTTCATAAAAATGATATTGCAATGCATGACGATAAACTGCAACAAAAATCTACAAGCAGGCAACTGAATATGGAGGGACGTCGCATCCATGCAAACAAACATGTTCAGTCACTTAAGGGCTATTTCATAGACTGACTTTCATTTTATGCGGGGTCACTTAAAGGATAACCAATGCTCCCTAAACCTAAATCTTACCTGAATATGAATCAAATCAATCCCTTTCAAATGGACCCCAACAATAAGCATTTTTGCCTACCAGGGATAGAGTCCCCAAAAAACAGGTCATAAGTTTGACGTATGACCCTGAAAGTGACTAAGTTTCACACTCACACACACTATTCTTAACTGTAAGACTCAGATACACTGATCTACTTTCATATCCTTCATTTTAATATTCAAATACTACACCGATGTGTCCAAAGTTTGTGAACAGCTGACCTTTAACCTTTATGAGGAAGCCAAATGAAAAACCTTAATCGACTAGAATTATTTTACCAGCCTCCACTCTTCTTGATTCAGTTCTACCAACACTTTGGATCCCAGCTGCCGAGAGTTGTTCTCAAAAGCATTACTGAGGTCATCAAACTGATGTTGGGACATAAGTTTTGGCTTCCAGTCAGCGTTCAAGTTCATCCCAAAGTGTAATGAATGGGTTTCAGTTCAGGGCATCAATTTATTGCACAACAAACGGGGAAACAGATTCTTTATGGACCTGGCTCTGACCAGCAGGGCCACTGAAATGTTGAACTAGTTAACTGACTTTCACAAACTGTGAAGACAAAAACAAAACCTCTGTTTGCTCTATAATTAAAAGCATATCTCTGTCAAATTGAGCAACATGTGAAAAATCATAAACTAATATGTCTGAAGCATCTCGTTACTGCTGGTGAAGGGTTAAGGTGTAAAGACTGTGGGTGGATTTCATCACCACAGCACCACTGCGGGGGTTTCCAGGACAGCCTTGGGCTGTGTCAACACAGACGGAGCGACTGTCTGGGATGGACTGTGGCAGAACAAATGACGTATCACCCGCCCGGCATATTTTTAATATTTAAAACTAAAAACCATATGTAGACAATCCTCTGCAGGAAGTCTGTGTCCCCACAAACAATCACCCAAACACTGAGGCCATGTCCTGAACCTGAAGGCTTTTAGTGGTTTAGACCATAAGGGGTTTCAGAAACCTTAAAGGAAGAATGTTCGACTTTTTGATCCAGTAGATGTTGCCCTTGAACACCAGCAGGAAACCAAAACAAACGGCTGTTTGGCCACACCTCCGCCCTCCTCCAATCCTCTTTTCTTGCGTTCGCACAAAGGAGTCAAATCGAAGCGACGGACAAAATTGTCCTTTGCTTGAGCAGCAATCGCCTGTTAGTCTGCATCGCTATGTTAGCCTGCTAATGTTAGCGCTCTTTAGTTAGCTTCACATTGCATGTAAATTGACACCCAAAGGCTAAAACGCTGACGTGACGTTCAAATAATCAGTGAGCATGTTACTGCTATTTTCTCTAGTCCTTGACTAAAACAGCTTTTATACCACAAGGGGAGGAGCCGGCCGTCCCATCCATGTAAACACGGCTCTGACAACAACACAGCCAGCAGGACTCGAGCTTCTCACTCATTGTAGAAAGTCATGACTCAGAGGATATACTTAATTTCTGATATATTTAAAATGTTGCACATTCTTCCTTTAAAAGTCAGAAAGCTTTAAATATTTGTGGACAGCTTGTCTTGATTCATCATCTTGATTTATAAAATTGTATAAATAACAAAACAACCACTTGACATGCATGGAAAATGTGACCTGTAGAGGCTCTGGGATTCTGCCTCACGCTTTTACAAACCGTTAATTCATCCTTCATGGTGTTGGCAGCGAGATAGAAAATGTTCAAACGATACGCTGCCCCAGTAAACAATGCATGCACAGCACACACACACACACACACACACACACACACACACACACACACACACACACACACACACACACACACACACACACACACACACACACACACACACACACACACACACACACACACACACACACACACACACACACACACACACACACACACACACACTGGGGAAAACAACAAACACATGCACACTCTTAAGTATTTATAATCACATTCAGAGCGGACTCATATTGTCCTCTAGCTGCTCTCTTCTCTGTGCCTTAAGTAATTTCTTCTGTCATGAATCCACAGAGGCTGCAGCTGATCACACTGATTTATACGCACCAGCAGACACTCTTCATCATAATTAATAACCCTGCAGTTCAAAGCTCTCTATTACTGAAGCACAGGAGAGCTGCAGGCTGAGCACTGCAGCTTAGAGCATACATGTTACCACCACACACTTACAAACACACACACACACACACACACACACACACTCACACTCAAGTTAAAAAAGCTCTTGGCTTTTAAACCATGAGAGACTTGCTGAGCCTGACAGATTTAACCCTGCACAGGATTAACCCATAAAATTATCTTGCTGCCCAGGCTGTCAGGCTGTCGCCTCAGAGAAAAAGGAAGAGAAAAAAAACAACAAAGAAACTAGAACAGGGATTTTTATCCCCCTTTTTTTCTCCCCTTCCCCAAGTCACGAATCAGAAACGATCTGCAGCTTCTTTCTCTCATGATCGGTGCACAGTTGTGATCTGTCATCGACTCGTCAGGCAGCAAGTCACACAAGGGTTAATAGATGCGCGTTATGAGTTTAAATCTCCACAACATGCAGGAGGGGAAGCAGCAGCAGCGGGCCGGATGGAAATGATGAAAGGTATTAAAGCAAGGAAGAGAAAGGATGGAGGAAAAGCTGCAGCAGAGGAAGGTCACACGTTGTCTGCACATGAAGCTGATTTTATTTTCTTTATTTTCCTAATTTTAAAATCAAAGCACATAAACTAACAATATGCTAGCCTGTCTCTTAAACCTCCTTACTGTCTGACTTCCCTGATCTGAGTATGACACACTGCTTTAAGTCTGCACGTCTTTTCTGAAGATGAAAATCTTACAGCTCAAACTTTATTTCATATTAAGCAGCTAGGTTTTTACGTTTCAGCTTTGGAAATATTTAGTAAACTTATTTTGTGTCAATAAAAAGGCTCCATAATGGGTTTTTTCTGATGGAGCAAGGTTAGCTGTTTCCTCCTGCGTTCTTTACGCTAATCTAGGCTAACCAAACTTAAAACTGTATCTTTAAACATCCAATATTTGAAGCACTTTTGTATCTTCTAATCAAATATCTGTAGTTCTAATTATGGTGTGATAATTTTTATTAATAACTTTAATAAAAAACTGAGCATTTCATTTTGTTACTGCTTCATATTTAGAGATTTCCAAGGAAAGGTTTGAGCACTTGCCAAACAAAATTTGATAAACCTTAATAACTAAATGTACAGCTTTGAACTTGGAAACTTTTGTCTCAGCTTATTTTAGTTAGTATGATGCTGTACTGGCCAGTTATTGAAAATGAAAGGTGAGAGAATCCCTCAGATTTTTCAGATGTGCAGACGTCTGCTGATGACAGAAACAGTACGAAGGTTTTTAGTGTTGGTGAGTCATGCAGAGTTCAGAGTTTCATGCATTTCAAACAGAGAAACAAAGAGAGTCCAGCCGGGTGAGGCGTCACCGACTCACTGCCTGCAGTGGAGGAGGAAGCAGCAGCAGCAGCAGGGGGCAGAGCCCCAGCCGAGTTGGTGAGAGAGGAGGAGGAGCTAAGCCCTACGTGGGTGGGGCTAGAAAGAGTTTTGCCGGCAGAGGCGTCATTGTGCTGGCTGACGACAGACGGCTGGCGGCGCAGGGCACCGGGCACCGCCGCCTGGCCCGTCTGGAAGGTATAGACCACATCCATCTGAAGGAAGGACAGCCACAGTGTTAGAGAGCACAGAGACAGAGCAAGGAGACAGGACAGGGAAACACCTATGGAGAGGTTAAAGAGAGTTAAGTGGTAAAGTTAGACAGCTTGGATTTTGAAGATCAGTTCTTTCACAGTTCAAGTGAAGCACAAACCCGACAGACAGAAGAGGGAGAGAGAGAGAGAGAGGGAGAGAGAGAGAGAGAGAGGGAGAGAGAGAGAGAGAGGGAGCAGCAGCTGGGATGTGTCTATCTCTGAGAGTTAACATTTACTTCTCTTTAAGAGATGAAACAGAACAGAGGTGTGTCGGGAATCTACCGGATTGTTCTTACATAAAAAAAGAATAGGAGTATGACGACCATGTTTCCCTCAGCTGTGTCTCTTTTAAACTGTTTTTTTTAAGGTCAATCGATTGTTTGTTGGTCATTAACAAGGTTTCAGGTGTCCAAAGACGACAGTCACTGAGCCTCTGTATGTTTCATCTAACATTTCTGATCTGAGCACGTCTACAGAAGAGGTGGCGGCTTGTTATCTTTGATTTATTTATTTTTAAATAATGTGACACGTATCATTGAGACCTGTCTAAATACTGTATTATCTGCAACATTTACACTGTAAAATATCAAATCCTAACTAGTGTATTTGTCTAATTGCTAAACAAACATATCTCATTACACTTCATATAAGCTCCATTCACCTGAGCAGTTCAGATTGACTTGTTTATTCTAATTTAAACAATCTTAACAAGTTATTATTGATGAATGCATTGACAGCCATTAGTACAAATCATCATCATCATCATAAAGAAGTTGTGAAAACAACAAATGTGTACTCGTCATGGAGAGACTGAGTTAAAAAAATAATAAATAAATAAATTAAGGGTGTATGTCCACTTTGGGCTACCGTAGATTTGAGTTTTTGCAGTGATCGCCTTCATTATCATGTGTTTCTCCAGATACATCCAAACTCACATCAGGGGTTTATACAAGATGGAGATGATCTTTAACCTTTGATTTCATAAATAATGTTTAGAAAGTGCTTGAGCTGAGTGTTTCAGGACGAAGATGACACGTCTTTGAATAGGATGAGGTAAACAGTATTGATCCATTCTGCAGCAGAAACACACATCATCATGTTGATAGACAGAAAACAGACAGGAAGTAGACAATATATATATATATAGAGAGAGAGAGAGAGAGAGAGAGAGAGAGAGAGAGAGAGAGAGAGAGAGAGAGAGAGAGAGAGAGAGAGAGAGAAAAATGCTTAAAGAAAGTGAAAGCTGTCATTTAGTTCAGAGTGAAAGACACGAGCGTCCAGAAGCAGCTCTGAGAGAACGGAGTGCAGGAGGAGAGAGAGAGAGAGAGAGAGTGATGAATAAAGAGCTTTTGAATCGGGCTGAAAGCTCTCATAGAGGAGGGAGAGGAGAGAATGTGTCTCTCGGAGCGACTGATAAAGTTTCGTCAGCGAGGTGCTGCTTGTACCAATTATTCCCCCACTGTGTTTGACTGGCGAGGCGTTGAGCGGCACAACGCTGCCCACCAGGATTAGAGAGGAGGAGGACAGGAAGAGGAGCGTGGAGAGATAAGAACCTAATTAGCTTGCAGCCTTTTTCAGAGCCCACCCTCCCCCCGCCTCCCCTCCACCACCCCCTATCCCAAGAGGGCTGATATTCAGATACACAGACATGACAAGGGAGGAGAGAGCATCCTCTTTGCTGAGCAGCGCGTCGGATGGCTGAAGAGACAGAAGAGGACGAGAGCTTTATTTCTGTTCCTTCTTTCACCACGTTCGGCAGCTTCATGAAGACCTGCTGAGGATTCTTTTTTGGCACTCTGTGATTTAGAGTTCCTACCTTGAATCAATCAAACTCTGCACCTGCTCGTCTCTTCAGGAGCTCCTGATCGAATCACATCAACCTAATCTGCAGATGTTCTTATAGACATTTGAACTTTTAGAACTACAGCCTGCTTTATACTTCTGCGTCAAATCATGAGCACAACATACTTGTTGTTGTATCTGCGTCACTCTGCCTAAGAATGCTAATTGGCATTGCAATTAGCAATCTGGTTATATCGTCTCTGTGTGCAGGAAACAATGGTGACAGAAATGTTGGCGTTGGAGATGACAGAAAGCGTTGTAGCGTTCTTCCTTCTGCAGATGTTTTGAACATGGCGGCGATTCAGGAAGTGGAAATAAGATGCTATCCAGCGGACCAATCACAGGGCTCGCAGTCTGCTTTGTTTTGATGCATAGTTACGTCTTTGAGGAGGTGCATGTCAGGCTACATACAGTATGTAGGCTTCTGCATTGGTACAGGGTGACGCGACCCCTCAGCAGAGAACAGAACATCACTTCAGCCTCGTCTCTGACAGACCTCTTCACTTCATGTATCCAAAATGTGGCTTGATTTCATACAGTTGTTTATCAAATTTGAGGGATATCAGCATATTTCAGTAAAATCCAGTTTCTTGCGTTCCCAGTTTTAAGTGCTTTGAGCTCAAGAACAGCTGACGCCTGCTGCCGCTGATAACAAGAACGCTCCTGTTTGATACGAAAACAGCCGCGTTAAATGAGACGTTAATCGGATTTATGGAGCATAAAGGTGAAGTTTGATTTCAGGAATATTTTGTTATGGTTGTTTTTTTTTTTGGAAAGGACAAATATTTGCAATAATATTATTCAGTCTTTACTTTTCAGACTTTTCAGAGAGTGAAAGGTTTCTGAGGAAGCTTCGGCAGAGGTCAAACGGAGACTCAGCAGGCGACAGATAGAAGTTATCAATAATTCAGAAGATTTTACCCTCCAGGAAAAATAACAACAAGTTAGTGTACTGCTGAGAGGAAAGACCTGACCTCTGTGTGTGTGTGTGTGTGTGTGTGTGTGTGTGTGTGTGTGGGAGAGCAGAGCCTCGGCTGTTGTTACTGTAGGTGGGTGTTAGCATCGAGGCTAATGAACCCCATAGGGACTGAATGAGGACTGCCTGTGGACATGCTAAAGCTCAGTGAGAGCTGATCTATGCTGTAGGAGGAGGATAACACACACACACACACACACACACACACACACACACAGTATTAAGTCCCAGACTGTGCGATGAGTCACAGGGGAAGGCGGTGCTGTGAAGGTGCTGCTGTTTGCCACCAACACTGACTGACTGACTGACTGAAGTGTAAAAATATCCAAAGTGCTTTTTTGTCTTACGCTGTTTGCCGCCTTTACTTTCGGCTTTTAATAAAGTCGTTCTGTACTGTCGCTCTGCAGCAGAGTGTGAAATTAACTCCTGGGTGTTTGTGTGTGTGTTAAAAAGCTCCTGTTAACGTCCACACACTCTGCTGAGGTTTCATTCGTCTTTAACACAAACTGAAAATGTTGAACATGGAGGACGGTTCGAGTCAAAACGAGACGATAAGAAGCTCCAAACCATCATTTTTCTCTTTCAGATCTGAGACATCCCTGACTTCATTTCTCTCATTGTTGCACCTAAAACGCGGAGCTTCTACTTTGCTGACAGGCTGTTCCAACATATTTTACATTTCATATTTTATCACCTCTCTGAGATATTCATAACCCTCGTGTTTTCTTTTGCTGTGAGGGGCTTCAGTGTTGTGCTGCTCCACAGGGGGGTTGTGCTGCTGCAAGTCAAAGTGAAAACTACACTGCAGAAATAAAACTCTAACTGATTTAATCCCCCAGCAAAGAGCATCTAAATAAATCATCCATATTTCCTGCGGTCGGGATCTACTCCTCTTTACCTCGGGGCCACACTGCATCTCTTCAGGTATCTGAAGCAGAGCGCTCGCCCTCCTCAGCTGATCAAACACTTCTGACTTTGACTTGAGAGAAGGTATTTAAATATTAAAGTAAGAGACGTGTTGTTCCCCTCTTTGTTGTGTGTAACTTCTAACACTGTACACCCTGTACGGTAAGTACTTATTTGAGTATCTTTGGTCACTCAGATTTAAAGGTATAGTACGTAGAATTGTATGAAAATATCAAATATCTAAATTAACTATAAATGTACTAAACCTATGTTATATATAATCTTTTGCTGAGTGCTTACATTACCTCAAATATTTCCAACATTATCCGTAATTTTGTAGTTGTAACTGGACGTGTCGTCAAGGCAGCCGCCATGACAGACACAATGTCATGTTTATTGTTACCTTGGAAACACCAGATGTTACGTCAAAGACCGCTGCATAAGGAAGTGTGAGCTGCTAATGAAAGCTGTCGTACTGTTGCTGTATGAGGAGCTGTGATAAAGACGTCATGTGAATTATACTCAGATACATGGTCGGTAAACATATTCTCTTCCTCAGGTCGGTTTCGCCCGGTGGTCTTGACTACAGTCAACTCAGAGTTGGTTTTCAGCAGGGGGGGAAGGAGGGAGAAGAGAGAATCACTCCCATGATTCCCAGCTGGACTCGACATCATCTTTTGTTATTGTTTTGATTGAGAGCCCCCTGGTGGAGGAATTGTACTGTCTGTGTTTATTGTCTTGAATTCTTCAACGTCCGCGTAAAGCAGAACCAGAAAGTGTTCTGGGCGCATTTTATGTGTTGAAAAAAAGGTGCTGAAAGGACTACTGGGGGGGGCGCCGGAAGCCTAGTGGTTAGGTTAAAGGTAAGTGGTTATTGTCCTCCAAGCGGGCGGCGGCCCCAGGTTTGAATCTGACTTGGGCTCCTTTCCCCCATATCATTCCCCGCTCTCTCTGTCTCTCTCCCCACGATTTCTGAGACTATCCACTGTCCTATCTCTAAAATAAAAAGATCAAAAATAAACCTTTAAAAAACAAAAAGGTTGATAACTGTGTGTGTGAATGGATGGTCTGGAGGGCTGCTGCTGCTCAAACTGTTTCTAGTGATTCTCTGTTTATGTAAAGCACTTAGTGTAACATTTGTTGTTGTATGAAAAGTCTGATTGTTTGATTTAAAGTCTAATATCTGAACTCTGCTTCCTCCTGCATGTATTTGATTGGACAAACATCCACTGCAGCTCTAACAACCTGTCAGAAATGTTTTTTTTTAGTGTTCATGTCTCCTCCTATTTGTTTTACTGAAACATTTCTGCTGTGACAGTTTGGCTCTGCTCTCCGCTCTCTTTCCGTCCGTTGGTTCATCTCATGTTTGTTTGATTTTTGGGGGAGTTGAGGCGAGGAGGGGGAGTGCAGCGGAGTTTGATTTAAAGTTTGTTCTGCAGATGAAAAAGCTGACCCAAGCTGAAAAGCTTCCAACGGTTAAAACAATTATTCACCTGCAATGCAAACAAAAACAATAATTATAAAAATAAAGAAGTGATCTCCTCTGCCACCTGAATCACTAAAGATAATCATGTTCCTGCAGCTCAGACGAAGAACAGATGTTTGAAATCATCATCTCGACCTCAGGAGCCTGAATATCAGAAAAATCCTTCAAACAAAGAATAAAGTTTAAAATGAGCATAAAGTCTGCGGAGCTACGCCCGTACCTGCGTCTGGATGCGGTTCAGACCTCTGAACCACAGGATCTGGCCTCTCCTCAGCTCCATCTCGGCGTGGTCGATCTCGTCGGCGCCCTCCGTCAGCTCCTCCTCGTGGATCTCCTCCTTCGTGGTGCCGTGACCCGCCTCCATCAGGAACTTCAGGTGGTGCGTGGGGATGGCCGAGATCAGCTGACAACGACGGAAAAATTAAGATTATAAATTGCCGAAAAAGACTCTGGTGATCCTGGAGAGGATTTAACATCTTTTCATTTCAGTTAACATTTTATCTTTGCCTCAGCTGGCTCGAGCTTTCTCGCTCCATGTCCTATTGTTTATGGTGAGAAGGCAGACTCAGAGGGCAGAACAAACACCTAGCTGTGGGAGTGTCACCCACCTGGGGGAGGGGTTACTGACCCTTTGTGACATCATGAAGGGAAAATCTCCAAACGGCCTGTTTGAGCACACATTTTCTAAAAAGTGGAGCAGGCAAAAGACGGAAAGGATGAAGTTTTTCATCATTGGGAGTAGAAGACGGACTAGGGTGTTAGAAAAGCAAGGGAAAGTGTATTTTACATCATATGTAACCTTTGAATATCAGGGAAGTTTGCCAAATTCTCATTGAAGTTGAGCTGTTTCCTGCAAAAAACGCAAAAAATTTTGTATTTTTTTTTCGTCCTAAAAACACTTTGCACATCTTTTTCACATGACAGGTGTGTGGGCGAGGGATGACTCAAACGCTTTCACGCTGTCTCACTTGCAAAAATTTCTTATAGTCTGTCAATGTTTTGACACTACTAGACCTAGTTTTTGCTCTGATGAAATCCTTGTTGAAATTGTTGATAGCCGGTGTGCAGACTCTGCTTGTCTGGTTTTCATGTCTGAAAACACACACTTGTTTGTTCACTGAGCTCTGCATCTTGTCAACATCATTACGTTTCCCCTCTTCTCCTTCTTCGTTCTGATTAATGGCCTCTCTGTCCTCTTTTCGGATTCGTCGTATTAGATCACCTGTTTAAACGTTTTCTGTGTGAGTAGTGAGGAGGAGATTAGATTGTGTTTTCATCATGAAGTCTCTGTTTGTATAACAACTATTTTATACTGATAACCTACTTTATATTCTTAATAAAGAAAACCAGATTAGATGTGTTGTTGATTCTCCTGGTGTAAATCAGAGCACGGTGACGCACTGAGCCTCCTGCTGCTCTTCAGATTTTTATACATCTGTCACTTCGTCTCTGTTTGAAAAAATAAAAACAACACAAAGCTAAACAGACCTGAGATTAGCCTGTTTCTGTCAGAGTCTGTCTGTTCTCTGTGACTGTCCTCAACCTGAACCCACAACGCTGCTCATCACTCAACTTTATTTATGTGTGTGTGTGTTAGTGTATGTTTGGTGTGTGTGTGAGTGTGTATTTGTATGTGTGTGTATAGGAATGCGCATGAAATAGATTTTTTATGGCGTTCATGTGTCTGTGTGTGTGTGCGTGTGTGTGTTGAGCAGAATCATGCATGTGACTGTTTGGTTGCATTTCATTTATGTTTGTGTGTGTGTGTATGTGTGTGTGTGTGCGTGTGTGTTTTATGTGTGTGTGTAAACAGGAGTCGCGCTGCAGAGCTCATTACCATGGCGATTGTAGTGATGGCAACGCTGCAGCAGCAGAGTGTGACAGACGACAGTTTTTCTCATCCACAAACCTAACAACTACTTTCCCACCTCTTCATCGTCCTCATCCTCACTTTGCTCACTTTCTGTTTGTTCAGAACCCCTCACACACACACACACACACACACACACACACACACACACAGAGTTCTGGTTCTGGTCTCACCTGTCCCCACAGCAGCTCTCCTACGCCGATGAACACGCACCACAGCCACTGGTCGATGGTCAGAGCCGTGCAGGAGAACGGCTTCCTCCGAACTGAAGATGACGATCTGAGAGGAAATGAAACAGGAAATGATCGCTGAGTCGAAGGATATTTTTATAAACGAACAAAGACTGAACTTTAAAGACTGAACTTTAAAAACAGTGAGCACATCAGTGACACGTTACTTCATTAAAGTGGACACACTGTGATCTCATGAAACTCATTAAAATCTGTCCTGCTGCTGGAAACACTCACTCACACAGCTTTAATACGACCCTGAAAAAAGTCCCCGACTTCTACATTTGGGTAAAGTTTGTTAAAAACTACATCAACCAGCTGTGTCAGGAAGTGATTGACTTTCATGAACAAGAATGAAACTGTTTCGTTCCTGCAGCAGAGCATCAAGAGGTTCATGAAACATTAAGCAGATGATGAATAATCTCTGCTGTGATTATCAAACACAACATTTATGAAGCTCAAGTCTGGAATTTGTTGCAACTAGAATTTCCCAATATTTATTTTCTTGTTAAAAGAAATATCCACATCACATCTTTACAGTTACTTTATTTAACAGTCACACTTTACTTTAACTTCCTGTGAGATAACAAAACTTCATTTAAAAGGGAAATTTTATGAAAAATCCACTTGTAAAGTGTTTTTGAACATATATTTGGGTAACCTGAGTGTCTACTGACCCACAAAATGTGAAATAAACCCATCCAGTCCTTTGTTTGTGGCCTGCATAAGTCTTACAACACAGAGAAAAATGCTGAGTTTCTAATGTGCTCTCCTTGTGATGTCACAATGGGGTTCTGGTAAAACAATACCCTCCCCTCCCCTGGTATCTCCACCCATGGACTCCACCTCCAGCCTAGAACAAAACTTTTGTGCAGGTCCGCCATTTTTATTCTCGCTACAGAGGAGTGATGTCTATGGGGAAAACTCAGTGGGGGGCTCATTGCATTTAAAGAGACACACACACCAAAACAGAGCGTTCTGAGAGAGCTGGTTTCTACAGGGTCACAAACCTCCTCTGGTGCGTGATTCATGTTATATTTATCTATCTTTTACTGGTAGTTAAAGACTTTATAATCGTTAATTCTCTGACATCATGGCTCACCGTCTGCTCTGTACTGGCAGGTCTTTAGTGGTTTTATATCTATCTCTCTCGATGTAAATGGAATTCTGTCCTTACTTCATATTGAAGATGAGGAAGCAATTTACTTTTTAAACGCACAATATGTAAATCCCACCGAAATGAACACTGAGTTGACCGTAGTCAAAACAACCGGGTGAAACCGACCTGGGGAAGAGAAAGATGTTTTTATAGAGCAACAGCACATCAGCTTTCAGTAGCAGTCCCTGCTTCCTTATGTAGCAGTGTCTGACCTAACAACTGGTGTTTCCACGACAACGATAAACATGTCATGTCTGTAATGGCGGCCGTTTGTAGTGAGAGTGAGGTGTGACTGTTCCAACTCAAAGGCGTTTGTAATCAGATCACTACTCAACATGTTGATGCCAGCTAGCTGCTCACACCAGTATCACAGAAAAAGGTCATTTGATGCAGAGTGAAGAAAGCAAACAGCGTGCTTCTCTCTTAAAACGCCCACCTGGAGGACTTATCGTGGCAGCTGCAGTC